GATTAAGGAGCGGTGTCCTATAAGGATCAGTGCTGTGACCACTGTTCACCATTTACGAAAACAATTTGAACTCTGAGATGGGAGGTACAATTGAAAAAATTGCAGATCAACCAAGTTACTGGATTTTAATCAAAAAGAGGGCTGTGACAACATATAGGAAGATATTAATCTTTTTAAGATAAGTACAAAGTGGTACATTTTTTCAGTAGGAAAGTTAGAAGGCACGTCTTTCTTAGAAAATAAATGTCTAAAATGAGTTGGAAGAACAGAAGAATCTACTAAGGGTAGTATCAATAAATTCATTCTTTAAAGAAAAGCAGAAAACTGGCATTATCATTATCAAAGGGATAGTTAAAAACCAGATAAACTGTTAGACATAGTCTGAGTCTCCATCTTGTGAATAGTTCTGGTTTACATGTCATTAAAGGGATTTAAATAGATTAGAGAAGATGCAAAAAAAATTTGCTAGATTGAAATCGGAACTGAGTGGTAATGCCAATCTGGAGAGCAAAGATGGAAGGGGTTGGTCTGATGGATGCCATTAAGGCTATGGAAGTGTTTCATAAAGTAGACAGAGAGCAGATGTTTCCACTTATGGACAAGACCAAGACTAGAACTGTAAATACAAATACATAGTACTCTATAGTGTTTCCTATTGCCAATTCAAGCGATAGAACTTTATCCAGAATTTAGAAGAGGGAACAAGGGACTTCAAAGAGTTGTTCTGGTGAATAGCATTGATGTATTTAATGGGAAGCTGGGTTAATGTATGAGTTAGTATGAAGATACAGCAATGATTAGTAAGACCAATAAGTTGTTCATTGCAAGCGAAATGGAATATAAAAGTAGAGAATGTTTTGCTACAGATGGGGATTTTGAGGCCACATCTGAAATACTGTGTATGGTTTTGATCTTTATATTTAAGAAAGGCATGTACATGTGTTGGACGCCATTCAGGGAAGGTTCACTCAGCTGATTCTTGAGATTTGGGTGGTCAGGGTCCTGATTATCTTATGAGGAATGGTTCATAGAATCCCTACAGTGTGGAAACAGGCCCTTCAGTTCAACAAGTCCACAGTGATGCTCAGAGCATCCCATCCAGACCCATTCCCCTCTAAACCCTTAATCTAGGCAACACTGAACACTACAGGCAATTTAGCACAGCCAATCCACCTAGCCTGCACATCTTTAGACTGTGGGAGGAAACCGGAGCAAACCCATGCAGACACGGGGAGAATGTGCAAACACCACACAGACAGTCACCCGAGGGTGGAATCGAACCCAGATCCCTGGTGCTGTGAGGCAGCAGTGCTAACCAGTGAGCCACCATGCAGCCTACTAAGGTCTGTCCAGTTGGATAGACTGGGCCTGTATCAATGAACAATGATATTGTTGGGACCTACCAGATCCTGAAGGGACTTGACAGGTTGGATGCTGAAAGGATGTTTGCCCCTTGGGAGAGACCAGAGCTCTAAGTGACAGTTTAAAAAGCAGAATCTCTCACTTAAGTCTGAGCAGAGAAGTTTTTTTAATTGAGTCATTAGCATATGAATCACACCAGGCTTGACATATTAAGTCGTTCTTTCTCCAAAGATGTTGCCAGACCTGCTGAGTTTCTCCCACCTTCTGTTCTGAGTTCCAGCATCTACAGTATTTTGCCTTCCCTATGCACTGTGCTGCTGCTTCTGTCGCTCTGCTTCAGCTTTCACTAATTCACTCCCACACAGATGACTAGTGAGAACTTATCCCTGAGTCAGCTTTTTAACCATTTGTGCTAGAGCCAGCTCTTTATGAAAGGTTATTCCTCTATTCTTTATCCATAGCCCTGCAGTATTTTCCTTTTCAAATATTTGCCAAGCTCTCTTGCTACTGAATCTGTTTCCACCACTCTTTCAAATGTTGAATCCCAGATAACTTCTCATCAAAATAGCTATTAAGTCTCTCATTTGCCTTCTCTAATGAGATACTATCCTAATGAGAGGAATTTAGCATAAAAGGAAGGTAGGTATGCTTCAGTTACGCAGGGAATTCGTGAGACCACATCTCAGATAATGTGTACAGTTTTGGTCTCCTTATTTAAGGTCGGTTGTACATGCATTGCAAGAAGTTCGGAGGTGGGTTACTCGATTGATGCCTGAGATAATTGTGTGTTTTCTTATGAGGATAGGCTTGTTTCCACTAGAGTTTAGGAAAGTGAGGGGTTACTTGATTAAAGTGTATGAGATCCCGAATGATCTTGACAAGATGGACATAGAAAGGATTTTTCCTTCGGTGGATCAGTCCAGAACAAGGGGACACCACTTCAAAATTAGGGATTGTCCTTTCAAGATAGAGATGAGAATATTTTCCTGAGGGCTGTATGAATTTGGAACACTGCCTCAGAAGGTAGTGGAGATGGTCTACCACTGTATTAAATGCATTCAATCAGGAAAGGGGGTATAGGGTTATTGGGTTATCAGTGTCAACTACAATGAGAGATTCAAAACACAAAAAAGATCAGCTAACCTCTTAATTGACTTGAACAGGATCGAGGAGGGGAATGGTCCACTTCTCCGTTTTCACAGATGTCTCAAAGTTGCCAGCTTTTCTTTTGGATGTGGCTCCAGTCCCACACAAGAGGGTCAACACTTGATTCATGAAGTGGTCTGCCAAGGTGCTTGGTTGCATAAAGTGACAGTGAAGACCAGCGTCATATTCAAAAGACAAGTTTAGATGAGACATACATGTGACTTAATTTTTTTTTAAAATCTGTCTGGAATCACTGCTTAAAAAAAATACTGCTGCCTATGGACAACAATATTTGAGCATCTGCGATGTAATATTTCACTATTGGTATTAATTCAACTTCCTGTAAGCAGCAAAACGCAAAGGTATGTTATTACTCCTTGTCGCTCAGAAGACATGAATGATAGCTCTGGGTTGTTTATGAAGGCCCCATCAAAGCAATGTAAAACAAAATGTGTCATTCTTAACAACCACTAACTTCATCCATATATCTAAGTAAAGGTTTTGCATATGGAAATTAGTAATCATAAATTTTATATCATAAACATAGTATAGACGTAGTTATATATGTTCCCTTTCTACTGCTTGTGATCAGTGTGTTTGTATGTAAGGTGTGTGTGTGATTTCTCAGCATTTATGTTAGTAAAAATGTAGGAACATAGAAGATAGGAGGAGGCCATTCAGCCCTTCGAGTCTGCTCCACCATTCTTCTCGGTCATGGCTGATTGTCCAACTCAATAGCCTAATCCTGCTTTCTCCCCATCATCCTTGATCCCTTTCACCCCAAGTGCTATATCTAGTCGCCTCTTGAATACGTTCAACATTTTGGCATTAACTACTTCCTGTGGTAAGAATTCCACAGGCTCACCACTCTTTGGGTGAAGAAATGTCTCCTCATCTCCGTCCTAAATCCTCCACCTCGAATCCTGATGATGTGACTCCTGTTTCTGGGCACACCCACCATCAGGAACATCATCTCTGTATCAACCCTGTCTAGTCCTGTTAGAATTTTATAAGTCCTGAGATTTCCCACCCCCCAAATTTGTCTAAACTCCAGCAAAAACAATCCCAATCTAGTCAATCTCTCCTCGTATGTCAGTTCTGCCATCCTGGAATCAACCTGGTAAACCTTTGCTGCACTCCCTCGAGCAAGACCATCCTTCCTCAGAAAAGGTAACCAAAATTGCACACAATATTCCAAGTGTGGTCTCACCGAGGCCCTGTAATTTAAAAAAAATCAAACATTACAGTTACAGTTTTTTAAAAATATATATGCCTACCATGGCTGAAGAGTTCTGAAGCAGCAACTAAACTGTCAAGAAATTCACCTATGATGCATTGTACTAGAGGCTTCAGAGTGATTGTGTCAGTAGAGAGACTCTCTATATTTCAGATGGCAATGATGGAAAAGAAATAATATGGCCTATTGAGACCAAGTTGTTTTACAATTTACCAGTAACCAATAACTACTGCAGACAAGTTGGTGACTACTAATGCTTCTGGATAACATGATCTGTGTAAAATTCTTAATTTTCTTCATTTGTTCTTGATATCTTGCTGATGATATGTGTGACGGCATTGTAATTGCAATCTTAACTAGTTGACGTTAATAATTTGCTTATACAAAATATTAGTGTTATAAACTAGTACCATGTGCTACTATTTACAACTTTGTCATATCAAGTAGTGTCATTACTGATACATAATTTGCAATGTGTAAATATAGGATGAGAGCATGCTGTATTTATCAAACACAGGAATCTTGCGCAAAGTGAGACATTACGTTATTATAAACATGAGTGCCCTATCCAGTGGTATGATTTATTCCAGTACACAGAATATACCTAGTAACACATGCTTTTTATCACTATAAACAAGAGATTTTACACCGCTTCCCTCCTGTTATTACAAAAGGAAGTTTATATCTGTAATTGAAAACTGGGAGTGCATTGTATGGCTTTTTGTTGACAGAAAGTTCACTCTTATGGTTTATTGCCCTTCAAACAACCTGTGCTTCTGTTAGTTCCACTTGCTCTAGACCCATATTCCAATAGGCTGTACTCACTCCTGATGCCCACTCTGCTTAACCGAAATGACCAGTGTAGAATCCCCTTCATGAAGAAGGGAAGATGCTATAATAGTGAGATTTGTCCGAGGTGCACCCTTTATCTTCTAATGGGCTTGTCATTAATGGATCAATTTTACTGGCATTCCCATTCTCTAGGGCAGCCAGGGCACGTGCTCAGGTTTTGCTGCTGAAGAATGGCAATTTGGAATTCAGAAAGTGTTTTGGTAACCTTAAAGTTTTCAACGACGAAATGATTTTGAATTTAAAAATACAAAGTTAGAGAAGGGAAATAAGTATGCATGAAGTGATTAGCTTTATTTGAAAACACATATTGATATGTTTTTTTTAAAAGCATTAAGGTTACTGCACATCTTTTGTAAATGTTTCGCTTTATTTCTAATTTCAATGTCTGATATCTTGAACATAGGGCTCAAAAAGAATTTTACGATCGCATGAGATTATATTGCCACCTAGTGGTCTTGTGGAAACTGACCTTGCATTAACTTTTTCACTTCAGGTAACTGATCTATTTGCTTTAATATTTTTCATTGCGGGTTGATTTTATTGGAATATTTCTGAAGTATTTCAACTTTCAAATGTTTCTTCTTGATGATATAAGTTACATTTCCACAGAATACATAATAGTCAGGAAGGTCTTGGATCCATCTTGGCTCATCCACCCAGCAGTGCCTCATCTTTGTCTGCAAAGACAAATCTAGTATATGTTAGGCAATAAGTTAGAAAATAAAGTAAAAAAAAAAAAATGCATAATTCTGTGTTTTCTGACATGGCTCTAAGCTGATAGTGCTTTTACACATGGAGAGAGGCAATATAAATGCCAGGAAATTGACTTCTTTATAAATTGCTTTTCGACACTACCTAGAGTCTGCATACCACACTTCAGAAAGGATGTCATGCCCCTGTTGGTGCTACAAAGGAGAATTACCAGGATGGGATGAGGGTTGAATGTCTTCATCTATTTGAAGAGACAAGAGAAACTTAAACTATTATTCTTTATAGTGGAGAATATTTATGGGAAAATTAGAACAGATGCTCAAAATTTATGAGGGATTTCAATAGAGTCAGAGAGCTGTTGTTTCTGCTTGCAGAAAAGTCAGTAAACGGGTCTGATTTATGATAAATAGCAAGAGCTTTGATGAGGGAAGTTGGCAATTTTTTTACACCAATCTAGAATCAGTTTTGTAAAGAAACTGGCTGAATACTTGAAGACTAATTAGCAGGGTTTTGGAAAAAGCGCAGAATGATAGCTCTTTCAAAGAGCTGACACAGGCATAATAGACTGATGAGCTGCCTCCTGTGCTGATTTTGACACTGACTCATAGAGCTTTTTAATTTAAATTTGATGTGTTCTGTCAGCTATTTGTGGTGTGCCCTCCCCAGTTTTGTTGCAAGATTTCTCATTGCCACAGGTTCCTTCACTTTGCAATTAAGGATGAAAAACAACACTGTACGTTGGACTCACAGGATTTTATCTTCTTCTAAAACAAGAAATACTGGGTTATGGTGCAACTGGAGGGAAAAAAATTAGAAGTTCACAACATAGAAGGAAACCATTTGGCCCTTCAACTCTATGGACTTGTTCTGAGTCCATAGTCTCTAATTCTTCCTCTGTGATGCTTATCTATGTTTCCTTTACAAGATTAAATGGTCTGTTCCTTAACCACATCCCTTGAGAATGTTTCACCAGCACTCTAGGGAAATTTATTATAATCTCTCTCTCTCTCTGACTGTTATGGACAAGTTTGGAAAGGAACTAAAACTCTTGTTTGTGCACTTCCATTTATCGTGTTAAATCAATGTGGATTTTTGGAGAGGAAGATATGTGTGCATCTTAGCCCAAAACTGTGTTGTCGGCATTAAGTTTTCATGGATTTAAATAAAAGGTATCATTTATTCATGTGTTATGCACTACCTCGGTCACACAAGAAAGATAGTCAAAGATAATACATGATTGCAAATGACAGATGAAATGGTCATTTAACAGTTCACATATTTGACACATTTTGGAAGGTCACTGTCATGGTCATTGGAGCCCTTTCCACTCTTGAATTGTTGTTTAGACAGGTTCAAATAGCTGGAGTCAGATGTCAGAATAATTTCAGGATTGCCCAGAAGAGATGAATGTTCAGTAGGTCACAAAGTTAGGCACTGCAGTTTTCAGACTAATAGACCAAATTTCTTTACAGGTGACCATACGATGTAGAGGCTGAAGGTGGCCATTCAGCTCATTTGAGTCTGCTGTGCTGTGGCTGATCATAGATCATTTTATAATCCTCAACTCCACTTTCTTCCCTTTTCCTATAACTCTTGATTTCCCTGACTGATTAAACAAACTGTCTTTCTGATCCTTGAACATACTTAACAATCCAGCCTTTACAGCCCTGTGAAGTAAAAAATTTCACAGACTCACTCCCTCGAGAAAAGAATTTCTTCCTTGTCTCTATCTTAAATTAATAAAATCTTATTCTGAGATTATACCCCGAGGCCTTAGACTCTAAGGGGAGGAAAAAACCTTCCCACATCTACCCTGTCAGGTCTCCTAAAAATATTGTATGTTTCAATAGGGTTACCTCTCATTCTTCTAAACGCCAATGAGTACAGACCCAACCTATGCAACCTGTTAAGACAGCCCCACTATACATAGGATCAGCCTAGTGGACCTTCTGTAAACTGCCTCCAATGCTGGTCTATTTTTCCTTAGATAAGGGGCACCAGAGTTTTGTACAGCTGCAACATGACCTCATGGCTCCGAAACTCAATCCCTCTACCAATAAAACTTAACATACTGTACGCCTTCTTAACAACGCTATCAACCTGGGTGGCAACTTTCAGTGATCTATGCACATGGACACCGAGATC